AGCTGGCTGTGTGGGTGTATCAGGAGGCCAGGTGTTGTTGGGCTGGTGTGCTGAGCAGAGAGGGTGGGCCAGGACACTGGCAGGAAGAGTCTGTGTCTCTCTAGTCGTCATTTTGTGAGACTTTCTCTGTCTCTCTCCTGCTACTCTTCTCTCTATTAGGAATCCGCACTACACTACACTTGCTTGCACAAATCAACGACGGAGCACACTATGTTCTCTGTAATTGTAAGAGTCTACACTTCCTCTGAGTATGGTATAAATGGCATAGTTATAGGTGGCCTAATCTTTGTCTATGTTGAGCGCGTAATATTAGGCGTACGTTTTGTTAGCTGTATTGCTTGAACTTCTCATGTAGCTATGTATGACCGGCTACACAACTCACCTTTGAGCTGACACGATCCAGATTAAAAGGTGTTCGTCAGACGTATTCAAACAATAACGTGATATGAGAAAGACCAGAGATGTATAGCTCAGATGCACATGGCTAGTCTATCTTTCGTTCTGAGTCTCATGTCCTGTCAATTCAACAGGATAATAGGGAACGCCAAGGAGATCCTGATGAACGGAAAATAAAATCCCTCCTCATCCTCTCATCTCTATGGCTTGGAACGGCCAGTCAATCAGAATTGACTTCTCGAGGTTCTCCTGATTCATTGATTTTGTGCCACATTTGTAACGCTGTGAACAATTATGCAGCGACGGCTGCAGGACAAAGTTCACTCACAGCTGTAGAGTCGAGCGAGCGAGGGATAGAGACGTGTTCATCTTCTCTGCGTCTGCGCATCGTCCGAGCAGGATCTTTAGGAGAGTAAAATATATCTTCTCTCTGCTCAAAAAGTTTCAAGTTCGGCTCAACAGCATTTCTATGCTTTCAACCTCTCTTTCATTGCATCTCAGCGATAGAGACAAATCTAATGCATCAGAACAACATACCTTTCGACCACTTGCGCCATCAGCATGGCATAATCACATAGACTGTACACACATACCTTCCATTCTCCTTACATACTTACTCACACATAACAGCTTAGACACATGCTGCCGCTGACATCATTGGCACTCCATACATACACATGCATGGATACATGCCACAGCACTTACACTCACACACTCCACACCACACACCATTGAAAGGGACTTGTTCATTGACGTTAAAAGTTGCGACTTGAGTTAATCCTGCAATTTTCATCCACACAGAGTTAACTTGCTGATTTCTGCCAATCACTGCAGAGTCTTCTTGGCGCGATTTCTCCACAGGATTTTTTCTTTAAAACTTAACAAAAATACACTTTCTCGTCCCATTCCGACAACATTTGCTCAGATAACTCATTTCTGACACAACTTATTTAAATCAAAACGAAATGTCCATTTTATTTTTTTGTTCACTCTGCTTCTGGAAAGCAGCAACCGACAGCTCCACAACAGCAGAGCTTTACGGAGCAAAGAACGCGGTCGATTGTCTGATACTTACCTGTGATAAGGTGTGGATCGATGATCACCCATTTTCTTTGTGTCAGAATGAATACACAGCGCTCAGACTATCAATCATCCTGAACCCATTAAAGGATCCTATCTTCATTACGTGTGATTCTATCAACCACGTAATGGGAGGTGGTTAGTGGAGTGCAGAGCTCGTGACCACAGATGCGTTGTGTACGTTGGATCAGCGTTTTAGCGCTAAGTTGCTGCATGTACAGCACCGACGTGCTTAACAGCAGCCCTTGTCTGTGCTACACGCTGATACCGACATCTGTCGTCCAGGAGTCTACCGTCTTCATGGAAAAGACTTCACACATACGTTCGGTACGCAAATGCGTTTGTGACACAAGTGACGTACTGCATTAGTTGCCGCGCATGTTCGTACCGACTTACCATTTATGCAAGCCCGTTTATCACGGCAAGATCTTGTATTACTATTTGACTGATTTATCCATGCTGGGAGGACGGTAATGTGTCACAGGTTTTGTCCCTTCAAAACGTTGACTAGTCTACTTACGTTTGTTTTAACCATTTTTATTATCCAGTGGAGGAATGATTACCTCGGAAGTGCCAATCTATATATGGCTCTTTATCTTCGCGCTCTTATTTTCGGTCTTATTAATTATAGATGTTTTTTTTATTATTGTTTTTTAATCTTTTTTCTCTACTACTCGGATTCGGCCAATGTTCTCATGTCCCTAGGGCTCGGACACCTCTTTGCAGGCAGAGTGATATTCTATTAGAGCTTTATCTCATCTTATTGGTTGTTTACATCGTTATTGGTAATCCCCTTTTCTATAGGTGCTGTGACAGTTTAGTTCGTGACGGTAGTTGTTAACGATTGGTGTAGAATGATACCCGGAGGTTGGGTTTTGTGTTGGTTGTGAGTGCCAGAGGCATTAGGATGGGTCTACCGCGGCCTATTTGGTCGTTTTTTATTTCAAAGAATTTATGTTTTTAATTTTATTTTTTAATGTCACACTCGATTTCGCGCGATTTTCTTGTGGCCTGCTGGTCGACACCTCTTTTGCAGAAACAAAGGCTACGATGTAATCCATTTGTGTTGTTGTTGAAATAGTCGCGGGACGTGACGTTGTGGTGAGTCGCTTAGCAATCTGTATCTCCGTTTATAAGAATAAACATCCACTATAGGTTCGTAATTGTGGTTTTGTTTATCAGGTGCTATAGCTACAGGTGGTAATTCTGGCATTTTCAAACTTGAGGGATCCCGAGCTTGCGGTCAACAGTTGCAAGCATAATAGTAAAATAGGACATAGAGTTTAAGAAAATA